GATGAAGTCTAGATAGACATCTGTCACCTAGTGGGTGACCAAGACCCTCAGACTCATTGGCAAAGAAGAGAATCTTGAAAAACTGAAATTGAAAACCAAACCAGCCAGGTTGCACAAAGCAACTGTGACATTCGTTCCTCCTGTTATCTTGCTTGCGCAACCCGCCCCCAAATCCCTGTGCCTAACCACACCCCATGCTGCCTCTATAACTCAGCCTACAGTCCTGCCTAAAATCCGTCTATAAACAGACAAGAGGCATGTGGGGCTCAGACTTTGGGGCATGCCACGCCTCTGAGTCTGCCAGCATAATAAACCATTCCCTCCACCTCTCTGAGTGGTGCTAAGTTCTTCCCCCATGGCGACGGGCTCATGACAACATCCTCTCTTCTAGAAAAGTTCTTCATTTGTTCAGTGTGTATTTGCTTTGTGACTTGCTTCCCCATTGGACCAGTGTTACCTCAACAGCTATACATCATCTGATTGGTTTGTCATAGCTGTAACCACATAGTTGTACTCTATAAAACAATCTCCTGAGAAGTGGGGTCCTCAGCACCCCACTCGGCTCCCTCCTGTCTCTCAGGAGCTGCATCTCTTCCCCTTCAGAAAGGTTTTCCTTGTCTTAGCCTCTGTTGTTTCTTAGAATTAGTTCTTCAGTTTTGGGAAACGCGAACAAGCATACTGGACACAGAGCTGGCTGGGTGCTATGAGAGTTCTCTTACATCATTTTTGGAGGTCCTAATATCATTCCCTATACCTCTGCCTGGCTGGTGTAGGACTACTTTTCTCCGTCTCTTCTCAGGCCCTGCTACCTACCGTTCTACCCTCAACTTCTATGAGCTGAGTACTTTTCGTTATGCAATTTTTTCTTTTTTCAGTAGTGGGAATTGAACTCAGAACCTTGTACTTATCAGGCAGCCCTGAGATGACCCTTTCAGATTCCACATATAACTGAGCCCGGGTGGCACTTACCTTCCTGTGCTTGTCACACCTTCCGGACCGATCCAGTTTGATTCGTGCCATCAACAGTGACTAGACTCCATTCCTGTTTAAGGCCTTGTTACTGTTTGTCTTTTGTAAACAGCTGCTCTTACTGGAGGGAGGTGATATCTCCCTGTGGTTCTGATGTGTATCTTCCTGGTGGTTCGTGATGCTGAGAATTCTGTACACCTGTATGTGGGGTGCTGGGAATTGAACTCAGGACCTGCTGGCAGGTGTTGCACCACTGAGCTATATCTTCAGCCCCCATCAATCAGTGTTTTGTTTTGTTTTGTTGCTTTGTTTTGGTTTTTGTTACTGAATTTTTAGAGTTTCTTATCTAGTAAGCCCTTGTTTGCAAATAGTTTCTCCTATTCTGACAGTTTTTCCTTCAGCCTTACGTCTTCTGCACTGCAGAATTAAAGCCATTTCTCTTTCCTTTCATGATCAAAGGAGAAATTTTTTTAACTTTGCAAATCTGAATTAGTAATGAAGATTAAATTAGTGCTGAACTAAGGTAATTTGAGGAAATAGTACTTTTTTTTAAAAAAGAAACTTCTTTCAACTCAGATCTGAAAGTGATAAAATGAAATAAAATTTCCATAACATATATTACAATCTTAACTTTCTTTAAAACATAAATGTTTGACTTGGCTAAGCATGACATTTAAATTAGCATTAAGGACATTACCCTGTAGCTCTGCTTTTTAAATATGTTTTTTGCAAAGTTCACTCCTCAGTCAAGTTTTAGGGCTAATAATATTTATGTGGTTCTGTGTTTCCTCTGCTTTTAAAAAAAGAATACTGGTACTTTAATTCCACATGAGCTATTATTCAAAGATAGGAAACCCCTAAAGTGCCTCCTTTTGGTGAGACAGGTAAGGTCATGTCAGAAATCTGAATGCTTTCTCAGACCTAATATCACAAAGAGTCTTGGCCCAAGGAGCCCCCACTCTGTCTCCCACTGTAGGGGTAATTTTAAAAGAAGAGGAAATTTTTAAACTTACACTTCTAATACAGTTACATTACTGATCTCTATCCAAGAATGGAACTGGAAGTACAGTATGTTCCTAGAATTAGAAAGTTACAAAACTTAAGGAGCAATGACATTCCATTTCCAGCTGCAGGGTAAGTGTAGCTCAGCCAAGCAGTGATGTTTTTCTTGCTTTCAAGTTCCCAGACACATACTGTCACAAGGATATCTCAGTTCAAGTCTTTTTCCTTGTTATAGGATAGTAAACCCAATTAAGCTTAGGTAGTGTAAATTCTGCCTAGCAACATATGACAAGACATGCGTAACCAATTACAAAATGACATGTTATCTGCCTTTGCGCCTCCTTCTAGAAACCTGTGTAACTGTTTTTCAAAAATGGGACTGGTGAGTTAGGCCTCATTGTCCCCCAGCCCGCCAGGTTAATAAAGCTGTCTACCTTCCAAAGTGCCTCTGGTGCCATGCCTTCCCTCTGGTCATCATCACTAGCTTTCTGCCCAATGGCTTATTAAACATCTATTAAGGATCCTGGGTGATGCAGACAAATGGATAAATGAAAGAGATTTCCCTGAGATTTTCATCCACTAAGAACTTCTAATCAAGTTCACCGATCCTAAGACTTTCAGATTCCGAAGTTACTAATTCATAATTTAGGAAAGGGATAATGTTGCTGACTTAGTGTGTGCTATTGTTAAGAATATACTTGAACTTTTATTGTTTCTAAAAGAAAAACCTACTTCAACATCAAAGAGTTGGGTGTTAGCTGGCTTTTATGACACAAGTCTATTTGGGAGGCTGACATAGGAGGATCCCAAGTTTGATATCTGCCTAGGAGATTTCACAAAACCCTATCTCAAAATGCAACACAAAAAAGGGATAGGGATGTAGCTCAGTGACAAAGCATTTGCCCAAAATGTTTGAGGCCCTAGGTTCAAACCCCAGTACTGAAAAATACAAAAAGAAGGAAGGAAGGGAAGGATGAGGGAGAAATGGAAGGAGGAAGGAAAGATATTACTGAAGGTAATCATTTTGTATGCATAAATTAACCTCTGAAAATTTATTGCCTTGGTTTTTTTCTTCCCCTCAAAATAAAAAGATGAAAGCCTCTTCATGGAGAAGTGGTTATTTGCTAACCACTGTTTTTCAAAATTCAAGAAGGTCATGTTTCTGCTCAGAAGTTGCTAGAACTTGCCAGAAAAATCCTGAGGTCCACTGACCATAAAGCCCTACTTCCACTCTCTGACCAATCACAAAAGTTTAGCTGAGGATCACATAACAGAATGTGACAATGTGAAGGATTAGACCCTCAGGATCCCAGGCAACTCTAACCTAAATCTTGTTATACAGCATTTGCATAAAACAAAGCCTTCTCTAGTGCCTGGCCGCAGGTGGGCTTTGGGAGGAAACCAAAGGGGTTAGCAGATGGAAGTGGAAATACACTTGGGTAACACAACTGTGTTATTTAATCCTTTTAGCCATTGTGTATGTTTTTAGAAGAACTGAAAGGAACTGAATCCAAAAGGAGGCAGATGTTAACACTAGCTGGATGAGATTACAGGTTATTTTTTTGTGGGAATTTTCAGTACTTTCCACATTTCCCCCAAGATGATACATTATTTATACACTGAGAAAAGAGTTTATCTTGAAAAAAATAACTACATAAGAATTTTGGACTATGGGCATGAGCTTCCCTAGAATTAGGCAACATACAGCCTGCAGAACCATATACAAGGTGCGTGCACAGACACACTCAGTGCTACTGTATTACTCCCTTTCATACCTTTTGAATTTTGCATTTTATGTGTGTATTATCTATTCAAAATATAATGACATGCCCACCGAAGTGGTGCACACTTGTAATCCCAGCACTCAGGAGGCTGAGGCAGGAGGATCACTGCAAGTTTGGGGCCAGTCTGGACTACATAAGTGAGTTTAAGGACAGCTTGAACTACACTGTCTCAAAATCAAAAACAAAATATAATGAGGTATTTTTGAAAATGTTCACAAAACTAGAAGGGTAATTTCTACACCATGAAGTTCATCACATCTTCTGCCTCCTTCTGTGGAACTCTTTTCTTATCCCATCTTGGAGGCTTTGTATGTTGAATAATTAGTACCCAGTTCTATGCTGGAAGTATGATTATTTTCATCTAACAGCACAGCTTTGACTGGCTTGGTTTTGTCATTTTGAGCACCAGAAATCGAACTCAGGACCTCAGGCTTGCCAGGCACTGACTCGATTGCTACAATCAGAATGGCAAACAAGGATCAAGGAAGAGACTGCTTTAAAAATATGGTGCAGGGACCAGGGATTTATCTAAGCAGCATAAGTGCCTGCTGCAAGCACGAGGTCATGAGTTCGATCCCAGTACCAAAACAAAACAACAACAACCAAAACAAGTGATTACCAAAACAAGGTGCTGCATGAGAAAGGTACTTAAATATAAATAAAGCAGAGCTCTGTGAATCAGGCCACGAGTCATGCGGTGGACGGGATTCTGGGGTCCCTCGGAACCCAGCTCCAGTCTCTGACCTTACCTGAACTTTCTTACTCATCCGTAAATATTTGAGATGAAATCTTTTTTTTGTTCTCATCTCCTAATTATCATTTTTCCAAAGCATCTGCTTCTGGGAGAAGATTAATTAGCTAGAGATTCCTAAAGGACGGATTTGAGGCCATCAAAGGCTTACAAAATAGAGAGCATGGTGGAAACTTCTCTTTAGAAGAGCTGGGAATGGTTTTGGGGACTCAGAATGAGCAAAGTTTGCTTCGGTTTTTCTTTCTTTAAGAAAATAAAGGTTCCTGAAAGCACACAAATATTTAACTTGTACTGCATTTTATTAGCCTTCTCTTTGAAGGACTCCCATTTAAAAATTCTCTCTACTGCAGTGCATAAACACACAGAAGACGTGTTTTATCTGAGACCACACGCAGAGGCCTTTCGGTATTTAGCAGGGAAAAAACGTCCTTGGAGGCTCAAGCCTGGTCTCCCTCTGCACCTCCCCGCTGGACTCCCCGGATATGTAAAGGGTCATCCTGCAAACAGGGCTGGGTACCACGTGCAGTTCCAGTATATGCAGAGGGCAGTGCCGGCTTGGGGACTCAGCTCACCTGTGCACTGCTTGACCTGCAACTGCAAGGAACTCTGCTTCCTTTGCCTTTAAAAAAAATCATCATAACTTTTATATTTTGATCTGATACCTACATATATTTGGTAGCAATTTTAGAAAATACGCAAATTTTAAATTTCTGTCAATTGAACGGAGATAACTGTTATTAGCATGTTGTTGTTTAATCTGTCCTTCCAACCTTATTCGAATCAGAAAAATACTTTTCGACATAAATTACATCTCACCGTTCATGCTATTTTTTAAATGTTCCTCCCCTCTTTTGCCCTTCCGCGATCCTCACCTAGAAGGCAGAGAAGAAAATAACTCTGCTCTGAGTGAGGCAGGCCTTGGAAGGGTTCTGATAACAAACGCCTGTCACATTTCACCAGTGGGAGCCACATATCGGAATTAGGAGAGCTGGGTAAACCTCTCCCGGCCCTCACCAGATACCCAAGATCCTGGGTCCCGAGATCCAGGAAGGAGGATTTCTTAGTTATGTTTTTTTTCTTTTCAGTGCTTTTAATAAAGCATTTCATGCTTTTTCACAATTGTTCCTTGTTCTTAGCCCCCCCCCCAAATTGATCAATAACCTATTGCCCTTTATTTCATTAAACAGGTTCATTTTTTAAAATGGAGCTGATGTGTTCATTCAGACAACACGAGTCCAGATGAAGTCTGTCCAGACCAGTGTTGTCTGTCTAGACCTGGTCCACAAACCTGGCTGAGCCTCAGTCTCCCCATTGTAGAGACACTTGGGCACCTGTTTCCCAGTGTTCTCGGGCAGTTCCTGGGGAGCCTGGTGAGATGCACTGGGTGACACCCAGCCTTAAGAATGAGGCTGAGGAGACATCCTGTGCAGACACCAGTGTGGCGAGGCGGCTGCGCTCACAGATGACCCTGCCACACCTCTCACCGCCAGGCTGTGGAGGGGTGGGCTGGGGAGCTCGTGAACCGAAGGACCTGTCGGCCTCTCAAACCCAGGAGACCTGCATGCGCCTCAGCTAGCTGCCGGTGATCAAAATTTGAAGCAAAAAACAGGAATCACTTTAGCTGGGCATGGTGGTGCATGCCTGTAATCCCAGCCCTGGGAAAGCTGTGGCAGGAGGATCACTGGGATTTCAAGGCCAGCCTGTGTTACACGGTGAGTGGAAGACAGCCTGAACTACACAGAGACCCTGTTTTCAAACAAAAAACAAAAGCCACTGAATCACTCTTCCCAGAACCTCCCCAGAATTGGGGAATTTTTCCTCCTCTTCCTTTCTCCTCACCCCCTTCTCTCTGTTGTTTCCACCTTCCTTCAACATCCCTCCCCCTACAGCCCACGCCCCTGTATGGTAAACAAACTGCATGTAACATTAATGCCTCGTTGTTATTCTTTGGTGCAGATTTCATTAGTGTTTGCCTTCCCCTTCATGCACTGTATGAACAGTAAGCCAATCAAAAATGGAGCACTGCTAATTGCCAGACCCTGAGCTCAGCACTTTAAATTCATTGCCTCATTTATTCCAGATGGTAACCATTACAGCTCAGAATGCTTCACCACTGTGATGACTTACTGCTCCTGTCAATCCCTTCTTCCCTGGTGTCTCAGGGTTCTGGCCTCCTGCCCTTTGCTCCTCTAAGTCTATAGATTCTGAAAACACCACTGGTCTGCCCTCTGTCACCTCCACCCTTGGGGTAGTGGCTGCATAGTGCAGTTTTATCTTCTGTGTTCATTCAGTGGGACCCCGTTGCTTTTGCAGTTCTCTGGTACCAATTCTTTTCCCTTTTAATGTAGTACAAGGCTTGAACCCAGAACCTTTGCACTGAGCTACATCCCACCGCACTTCCTTTTTAATTTTTGTTTTGAGCCAGCTCTCATTAAATCACTGAGTTGTCCAGACTGGGTGCAAACTCCCTGTCCTTTGCCTCAGCCTCTGTCATGCCAAGTCCTCAGGTCCTGATTTACTTCTTTCCATGACTGTCAGTGAAGGTGTGGAAAGGCTAAAATTCATGAGCTGTGGTACCACTGGTAATCCATTCACAGAGACAAACTCAAGACCTCCTTCCCTGCCTCTCCACAGCAGGCAACACTCCTGTTTCAGGCTTAGATTTCCAACATGAGGACTTTGGAGGAGACTCACTCAAACCACTGCGGCACGGAACAGTGCTGAGTGAAAGGACCGCCCTCAAAGGCGTGGGAAGACACAGGGTGGCAGGTAAGGGTGTGCAGTGACACGGGCTCTGCTTTGCTTCTCTTTTTCTCTCTCCCTGACAGTGGCTCTCATTCTCTCTCACTCTGCTCCTACGCAGCCTCTGAACAGGGACTTGAACGTACTGAGTTAAACATGCACTTGCTGGACCTGGGTCTCACCCCACAGCTCCCCTCCTTCTGGATCCCTGGCTTCTAGGAAAATGGTGAATCTGAAGCAGGCCAGATCTACTCCCCTGGCTGTGCTGGGGAAGCCAGCGGAAGCTCGAAGCTGCCTCTCTTAGCTGCCTGCACCAGCAGCCCTTACGGCTTCAGAGCACTGGGCTCAGTGGCTCTCAGCCTGCCAGGCACTGTTCCAGCTGACACTTGGGCACCACATGAGGGTCGGCTCAGATGAAAGCCGAAAGCTGCCTCTTCAGATTTGAACCTGGTGATGCTCACAGATCTCTCCAGTTCCCTGTGTGTTTGTTTGCGTTTTTCATCACACCACAGAGCAGCTGCTCAGAGGGCTGCCACCTTCCTCCTGCTCACATCCACACAGATGCGTGGAGCAGCTACCAACCTCGGCCTGGGTCTTGGTGATACCTGATGCCTTGGCCGGCTCTTAGCTCTTTGACTGGATTGACTTGTAAAGTTTAAGTCCAAGTGCAAGTGCAACCTGTTACTGTCCTCTGCGGAGAGGAGGAACTGCTGAGCCGCCTGTAGAGGCTTCTTTCTCACGTTGTCTGAGGCACAACCCTGTTTCCACCATGTAAACTATGCCATGATCTGAGCTTGCCATTCAGTACTGCATTCGGATTGGGGCCTCTTGGCAGAAATGCTGCGCAGAAGCTGAAAGAGTTTTGCTCTAGAATAAATTACAGGACATTATGGCGGTGGTTCAACATGGAAGGTCAAATCGAGGATGCTTACCCTGATGGCCGCTTCCTCCGTTTTCTCTGATTACAACTTCCTCCTTCCTTTCCCTATGCGTGTGAAGAAATTTCCAATCAACTCCTCACACATCATCAATGCCCACCCCAAGCACCACATCCGGTCAAAGGTCACGTACATCCCACACCCCCACATTTGGTCAGAGGCAAAAGCTAAACCCTTGCTGGTTGTTGGCTCTTCTCCACACCCTTTAAATAAAAAGGCCACTATCATTTTTTTCTTTTTTTTTGTATTCTGCTCTTTTATTGCCCCAGAAAATTCTAACAGAAGCCATGTAGCTGCTCATGCTCTGCTCCAGCAGGAGAAACTTTGGAAAAATTAATTTTTAAAATTTCTGTTTGTAGTTCTCCTTCCCTTCCCCACTTGAGTAGGTAGAAGGCTTTGGCTTCCTTATCTTGGGGAGTTTTGTGGCGATTCGTCAGTTAATTAATCTAGAACTATGTGGTCGGTGTTCCAGGTACATGGTTACTAGAACGATATGCATTTTAGCTTTTTTTTTTTTTTTTTTTTTTTTAGCACAACAGAACCCTTAGGAAGTGTGGCCTAAAGGGAGGAACTAGATTGCTGGCAGGTGCACCCTTGAAAGTTACACTGGGACCAACATTTTCAATTTAGAGTACATGATCCAGTCCATCCTGACTCCAGTACATGAGACCTGTTTTTCTCACTTCTGTCCGTCTACAAGGCCAGCCCTAGTCCGAACTGGGAAATGAAATGGTGAGGCTTTGGAGATCTCAGTGGGCCCCTCTGTGCACCCTTGTGGACCTCACAACCCTTATGTCCTGCCCCTCCTTCAGAGCCCTCTCCTCAGACACATCACACATGAGTCCCCCACCTTCCAGCTGTCCCAGGCCAGGCCATGCCCTCTCACAGGCCTGAGCAAAGCAGAGGACACTTCCTGTGGGTGGCTGTTTCCTAGCCTGGGTTATTTACTCCTCATTTCCCCATCCTTCTGCTCAGCTAAGGTTCTATCATGAGCCCTTTGGCATTTAGTGCTGGGGGATCTAACCCGCTCTAACCTTGGCAGTGGCATCACTGAGGTCCTCTGTGTGACTCCTGTGGAGTGAGGACAACTGGGGAGCACAGAGAGAGGAGGTACCCAGGCAGCAGAATGCTGGCTCGCTACTGCTACAGACAGGGCAAGGAGCCACACATAAGTTGTGGTCATGGAAACTTGAGGTTCAGACCTGCTCTCATGGAGAAAAGCCACATAATGATTTTTAAAAGGTGAAAGTAAGTTTGTTATAAAAACACAGCAGATATGAACATAGTCAAATAATGTATTACCACATTAAGACAGGGGCCATGGTCAAAAACAGGGTTAAAATAATAAGAGCTATGAACTGCATGTGTTCCCTAGGTGAACTCTGGTGTGTGCCATTTCTTTCTCTTTTTTGAAAGGAGGTACCAGGAATTGAACTCAGGACCTCAGGCTTGCCAGCCAGGCACTGTGCCACTAAGCTAAATCCCAAGACCCATGTGTGCCATCCTTCTAGGGAGAGAAATGCTATTAGCGCTGAGTACACTCTCAGTGTGTGCATCCTTGCTTCTAGCCAAGGTGGGAACAATCCCTTCCAGCCACGAAGACCTACTGCACCAAATCACTTTTGTCTGGACACAGTGGTTAAGAAACTGACACACTGGATGTGGTGCAGCATCTACTCTTCTGCCTCCTGAAGGCTGCACTGCATGCAAGGTCCTTCATCTTTGGTGCTGTCCCCTGCCTCATTATGGCTTACATTTTTGGTTTTGACTTGCTCTGTATTTCCTGGGAGATATGGCATAAATATCTGATTCTAACATTATACAAAAAGTCCATTTCACAGGGTTTCAAGTTTGTGCTTAATGCACCTCAAGTCAGACATCTACCTTTGAACAAATGACAAATTCAGGAGTGATTCAGAAATAATATTGAAAACCTACTACTGGCCTGTTCCTGAGAAAAGAAGTTAAAAAGAAAAGGAAAGAAAATATGTCACAATCTTCCCCCTTAAGTAGCTTGCAGTTTGTTAAGGAATGGAGCAATATTGGATAACAAATAGATGTGGGAGCTTACATGGCATTAATGTAATGTTTGTGGTGGGGTCTAAGGATTGCAGTTTGGAAAAGCAATGTCAACTCCCAGGGTGCTGGGATGACAGCCTTGAGCTCCACCTTGCCCAGCCTTTCTAATTGACACTGCTGCTCAGAACTCCGACATGCTCCACCCTAGAGGGTTCTCCTCATGCCAAATATAGGCTCTTAGCCCCAGGCCACTGGTCAGGACCTGTGCAAGCGCCCATGGTCTCAAAGGCACGCAGCCCTTGGCAGAACACCCGAAGGCAGCATCTCAGTCTCTCAGCCATGATGGAACCAGCCTGTCTCCAGCACAGTAAAATTCCTCCACACAAACACATCCTTGCTTGGGGAGGAGACATATGCCATGATTTATTCCCACTTTTCCACATGCAGCTTTCATGAACTATAAGACAAACGGGTAAGATATCAGTGCATGCTGAGAACTAATGAACCAGAGAGAGAGAAATTCATTTAATTGCAAGCGTGTTTTGTCTCATGTAAAACATTGATCAATTCATATTTCCAGGGATGATTTGTCCTCAGCCTGGTCACATGGCATAGATTATAAGATTTCAGCCCTGTGTAAAACAACAGAACTGGCTTATTCCACCCCAGCCCTCCCAACCTGCCCCCATATTTTTAGAATGGTAAAAATCTGTCAATATCTACCCCTGATTATCGCTCCAGAAAAGCCTGAATATAGTGGTACATACTTGTAATCCCTTCACTTGGAAGGCTGAGGCAGGAACATTGAGAGTTTGAGAATAGCCTGGGCTGCACCATGAGTTTAGGGATAGCCTGATCTACACCCAGACCCTGTCTCAGACAACAAAACAAAAGATATTATTTCAAATTACTCAAAAAATTTATTTCATGTTCTTATTACAGTTCTTGAGCCACTCATAAAGGTCTAGATGCTGGACACCTAGACAGAAATTCAGGTGCATCGTTTAATAGGGGCAAAAGAGGAAGAAGAAGAAGGAGGGGAAGAAGAAGAAGAGGAAGAAGAAGAAGAAGAAGAGGAGGAGGAGGAGGAGGAGGAGGAGGAGGAGGAGGAGGAGGAGAAGAAGAAGAAGAAGAAGAAGAAGAAGAAGAAGAAGAAGAAGAAGAAGAAGAAGAAGAAAAGAATCCAACAAGAGGAAAAGAATTTCATTGCTATGGTTCCAGGCAGCTATGTGTCACTAAAGAGGCAAATCTATCAAATGTACCAAGCAGGATGTAAATTTAATGGGGTTTGGCTAGTAACTTTCAACTCTATGAAACTGAAGATAGCAATCTGGTGGAATTCATCACTATTATTATTTTATAAAACTGGAGTTTGTAACTGAGCAGGTCAACTTAGTGTCCCTTAGTTTTGTTAGTTTCTTTACCTCTTATAATTAAAAAACAATGTGTAGTCCTTAGCACAGAGAGATAGGGCATAATCCCAGCATTCAGGAGGCTAAAGTAGAAGGATTGCTGTAAGTTCAAGACCAGTCTAGGCTACAAAATGAGTTAAGGGCCAGCCTGAACTGCATAGGGAGACCCTGTCTCAAAAAGACAAAAAAAAAAAAAAAAAAAAAAAAGAAAGAGAAAGAGAGAGAGAGAGAAATAGGACAGTAAACATTTGAGAGAAGGTTTGAATAAAGATTTAAAGGACCAGCTTGTTCATATACCCACAAGAGCCAAAACCTAGAAGGAAGAAATTTATGGGAACTAAATTTACATTAGTATAAATTATAATTTACGGCAAGAATTTTCACATTATTAATCACTTTCAGACTATGAGAAGAATAAAATGGAATTGTAAATTTCATTTCTTTTTTCTAATTCACGTTTAGGGCTGACATTAGAAGGAAGATGGATGAGGTAGGGAAATACCAAGGAACATTAATTTGGCATAGAGCATTTAGGAGCTAAAGCCAAAAATGTTATACTTTCCCACACAGCAATTTTATTTCTAGGGCAGAGAGCAATACTATTTTATAATGTATAAATTTCTATGAATTTTAAAAAAAAGAATATCACTTTTTAAAGAGCATTTTGCTACAAAAGGAACATGATAGTTGGCTTAGGTTAAATATTGTCTCTTTTATGAAGCAAATTTAGCTTCCTTTCTGTAGAAAACAAGGAATCGTGGAAAAGCTTCAAAGTAACTTGATGCTAATAAAAGACTTAAACTGGATGACTAGCCCGTGTCTTTGTTACTTTTCCTGTTGTTGAGGCAAAAATACCTGATATCCCAAGTTAAAAGAAGAAAGGTTTTTTGGCTCACAGTCTGTGGAGGTTTCAGCCCAAAGCAGGATGGCATGGCACAGGGGCATTCCAGAGGAGAAACAGTCCATAGCAGGCAGAAGAAAGCTAAAACAGCAAGCATCAAGTGACAAGTTTTCTGTTCCTTATATTATGTCCAGGCTACCAGCCCATAGGGGGTGGCACCCACACTCTGTGTGGGGCACCCTTAATCCTAGCATCACAGTATGAATCACTCCTTACATCACATCCTTAATCCTAGCATTATACAATCTAGATCCCAGCCGCCTGCAGAAAGCTTCACCGTGACTGTGTGAGGCTTTGGGGGAGCTTCTAGACACAAGTCATAGCACATTGGAATGCAGTATAAGTAATAAGAATGCCCCACATTTATTTGAAATTTTACAGTTTGTGATATACTTTCACTTATATTACTTTATCTGGTCTTCCTACGTCTTACGGTTCTCAGAAAAGCTTTAAATTTCATGGAAGGCCAAGGTCTATAGTCACAGGCTTTGTGCAAATTTGCCTGCTATTAGAAGCCATGATATACCAACAAACTCTCCAATTTTAAGCCCCGTAAGAGTTGCTAAGACCTCAGACTGATCGAGGGTCTCCCATCTCCCACCTGCCCCTCATCGCAGGCATGACAAGCTGTGGCTGGTGGATCTGCCCAACTTGCTCTGTTTTCACTCTCACTCCTTTTTTCCCCGAGTGTTTAGTTGCATTAGTCATCATCCAAACCAGAAAGCAGAGGATTCCAGGAAAACGCAGGGGCTTTCATGCACACCCTTCATTGCACAGGTGATAGGACTTCTCAGAGGAAGGAGGCTGAGAAGCCAAATGAAAGACAAGGAAGCAAGCTGGTGGGTCTCCATTTCTGGAAGCCTCTGCCATTCTTGTCTGGAAGCAAAGGGAAAAGATGCTGCAAGCA